GGTACGAACGAGTCATCTCGCTCTAGTCCAGGCAGCTCAAAGCCGCCGAGCGGAACTACCCTGTCCATGACAAGGAGCTCTTGGCAATGAAATATACCCTTGTGAAGTTCCGTGTTCACCTTCTGGGCTCTAGGCCCTTTGTGATCTACACAGACCACGCGTCCTTGAGAACAGCGACTAACTCGCCTCACCTATCCCAAAGGATGGCGAGGTGGCTGTCCTTCTTCGCGTAATACAACTTCCGCGTCGAATACAAGCCGGGCAAGCTCAACGTGCTTGCGGACGCCCTCTCTCGGCGTCCCGACTATGAGTTGGCCCACATCACGCGGGTGACAACGGATCTATATGATCGGATACGCATGGCGTATCGGGACGATGAGGCTGTCGCGCCTATCGTCAAGCTCCTTAAGGCCGGAACGAGCGCGAAGTCCGACTGGCTCTCGTCGCGACAGCGCTCACGGCTCCACCGATATGAGTTGAAGGAGGGCTCCTCTATTATCGGGTGGAGCCCACTGATCCTCCACGGGTGGTCGTACCCAACGACGAGGATCTGAAGATCGACATCCTCGCGGAGGCGCATGACGCGCCCTCCAGCGGCCACTTGGGCCGCGAGAAGACCTTTCTGTCGGTCTCTCAGTCCTTCTGGTAGACCCACATGTACAAGTGGGTCGCCCGGTACGTCAAGACATGTGAAACATGTCAGCGGGTCAAACCCGCAGGTCACTCTTCGGCTCCACTACAGAGCCTGCCCGTACCGGCTGATTGTTGGAAGTCGATGAGTCTTGACTTCATCTTTGGGCTTCCCGCCGACGGACACGGCAACACCGGAATTTTGGTGTTCGTGTGTCGGCTGAGCAAGATGGTCCATCTTGCTCCAGTTCCCGTCACTGTAACGGGCGAACAAACCGCAAGGTTGTTCGTCGATGGCGTTTTCCGCTATCACGGTCTCCCGGAGACGATTGTCTCGGACCGAGACCCGCGGTTCACTGCCGCGTTTTGGAAAACGCTGTTCCCTTTACTGGGAACTCGTCTGCAGATGTCCACTGCGGACCATCCGCAGACCGACGGCCAAACAGAGCGCGTCAATCGAGTGCTCGAGGACACTCTGCGCAGTGTGTGCGCGGCAGCGCCACGTACGTTGTCGACGCAGCTTCCAGTTGTTGAGTTTGCGCTCAACAACGCGGTGCACGCGTCCACGTGGTTCACGCCGTTCTACTTGAACAGCTTCCGCCACCCCAGAGTGCCTCTCACTCTTCGAGGAGACACTGACTCCTCTATTCTAAGTGGGAAGGGGCTCCGAAAGCCCTTTCCTCCCAGGTCTCGGATGTGAGACCAGTTTCGCCATGGAAACAGGTGGAATCCTTTATGGATACCAAGCTAAACATTGTCAGCAGGGTCCGCGATGCCATGGCAGCGGCCCAACATAAACAAAAGGAGTACTCAGACAAACAAGGAAGAGGAAACTTAAGTATATTTGAGGTTGGGGGCTTAGTGCTGCTAGACACGAGGAACCTACCTCTAGACACTGTTAGCTCTGTCGGCAGCAACAAACTGAAGCACCGCTTCATCGGACCTTTTGCAGTCCTGGCCAGACATGGTGCGTCGTACACCATCGACCTTCCAAAGTCAATGACGACGCACCCGACGTTCTATGTCGGACGTCCTAAGCGGTACTTTGACCCGCAGGGGGTTGCTGACTCGCCGTCCCCCCTTGACCCAGCTCCTCGAAGCGAGGGCCGGTCACAGTCGTCGACGAGGGCGTCGGAGCAGGCACCCAAGCCTCGGTCGGGACGGCAAGGCTGCGGTTAAGACCGTACGCCGGAGGGGCTCCATACGAACGGACCTCGGCGCCATACGACGAGTACGCTGAGTACGCCGGGTACGCACCATACGCGTACGTCTGGGAGTGTGCCGCAGGCGGCTCCGGACGTGGCGACAAAGCCTCGATCCGTCGGATCATTCGAAAGGCCTCGTCCAGATCGGACGAAGAGGCCCGGCGATCCACCCGCAGGTGCAGGCTCGCGACCTCTCGCTCCACCAGGTCCAGGCGACCCGCAAGACGAGCGATCTCGCCCTGATTCCCGGCCTGGGCGGCAGCATTACCGCCAGTCCCAAGGCCAAGTGCAATCTCAAGCACGAGGACACGTTGACGGAGGCGGTCGACCTCAGGGTCCCGTGTCGGACCCGCAGTCGGAGCACTCGGACGAGAGTGGCTCTCGGGAGGCGCCGAGTACTCGTACTCGTACGAGGGCACCTCCGCCCCTGCTTGACCGGAATGGAAAAGTCCACTTCCACGTGGAGCGGATCCTCCAGGAGCAACGGTGTCGCGGTAAGCGACAGCTCCTCGTGAAGTGGAGGGGTTATGCCCACTCCGAGAACTCGTGGGAGCCGATTGAACGGCTCCTGATTGACTGCCCATAGGCTGTCGCAATCTGGGAACAGAAGCGGCGGCATCTTCATAAATAGTCCGGGGCTTCTTGCCCGAACGGGGTACGGTCGATGAATACATACCGTACCCGCGCTCATCGTGAGCGCTAGAAGCCGCGCGCTTCAGGATGTCCCTTGGCAGCATACGCTTGCTGATCAAGTGGGCAAACCTCACACGAAGATCACGCTGGTCCAGGATGTGGGACAGCTGCTGGTCTTCATGGAATTCCCATAACTCCGTGGGCGAGTACTTGAGCGTCTCCACCCACGCCCAGAACATGTCCTCACAAGAACTCCACGTGGGACAGCTCTCAGGCATAACCCAGGGGTATCCCCAAACAGGATAGAGACCACCCCGGGTCTCGGGCTTCTTACGACAAGTCGTGAAGTCCTTAAGGGGAATGCGGTGTGGCGCGAGAAGCACACACCGAGCAGCCTCCACGTTGTCGACGAACAACTGTTCTTTCTGAACAAGGGCTCGTTCATAGATGCCCCTAGAAGTGTGGCCGCCCACAAGGCCACGAGGAGCGACGAGGGCCTCTAAGAAGAGGGCAGCCCCAGAGCTCTCCTCGGGAGGCCAATACCCTCTTGAGTTGATGGCAGCTCCCTGGCTGACGGGTGCCGCCACCTAACCCCCACGCACACGCTGGGCAGCTTGGAATTCCTCCTGCTGCTGGTCGAGGTCATTCGAGACCTCCCGGGGCTCAACGATAGCACCCTCCTCCTCCTCTTCTTCCTCCTTCTCCTCCTCTTCTTCCGAGGAGCCGAAGAGACTCTGATAGGAGCGTCGAGTCTCCTTCTCCTCGCGGAGTGGAGACTTAGAGGCGGTACGCTTCTTTGAGGGCTTGGCGCCTTCGGCTTTAGAGGCCTTAGCGCGCGCAAGACCCTCGGCAAGCGAGAGACGTTTGCGAGGACTCCCTTCCTCATCGCCACCGGCTTTGGGAGTGTCCTTAGCCTTAACGGCCGGACTCTCAGAGCGCACAGAGGTTTTGGGACTGTGATCACCGTGATCACTAGCGGACGACTGCACGCTGTCTTCTTTGTGCTCACTGGTCACTGGGCTGTGCCCTCCCACAGAGCCCGCAGGAGCATCCTGAGTGCTCTCGGACTCGGCATCGTCTTCACTGCCCGAGTTGAACTCGCGTTCTGCGAACCGAGGGTTCGGACGGTTGTCTGAAGACGAGGGCGACGGACTGCGGCGCCTGCTTGCGCGCTTGTCCGCAGCCGCGTCACCCGAGGATCCGATCGCCTCGGAGGCCACCTGAGTAGCCTCCTTGAGTGCAGAGCCTTTGCCGTGAGGCTTAGTGCTCTTGGCCTGCGCCTTACCGGCTGCAGCCTTGGAGCGTGTCTTAGCACCGCTCTTAGCAGTGCCACGAGGCATGTTAACGGTCGAAGTGGAGACCTTGACGAAGAGCGCACAGGTTGCTGCTCGAGGCTCTAACTGTAAAGTGAGCCTCCGCCGCGCTCGCGCGGCCGAGTCGATGGTTTTCGACTTTGAGAATGAGAGTTTGTGACGAACACCTCTTCATTCTGATTGGTCGGTAAACCGAACCTAAGTGGGGGAGGATGTAACGGGGTACGTAGCCCTAAGTGTACCCTGGTTACATGAAGTGTGACACTTCACACTTCAGGAGTATGACACGTCATACTCCGAGATATTTGGTACAAGGTACCAAGGTCGTTCAAAGCCAACCATTGGTTAAATGACATTGCATTTCTATAGGTAACTAACAGTTTGTATTAAACCCAAACTTAATCTACCTATAAATATACTCAGTTTACAATCTACCTTATTTAGGTCACTTCGCTCTCTTTAATTAAAGAGGGGACCTGTGAACTGCCGTTCACTGAGAGTTAGTATACTCTCGGAAGATACCTTCTTCTACTGTGTGACCCCGTCACAAAGTGGGGTACCCACATCGCAGATCAGACCACACTTTGCTGCCTCTGGCGATTGCTTATTTGTTATTTAAAATAGCTAGACCATCGTCCTTTTATAAAGGTTAGTTTGATATGTAGTCTTTGGATTTGCATGTTAAGCCTCAACTTGAGGTGATCATCAACATGGTGCAAAAAGCTGCATAATGTAGACGAACCTTCGGCCCTTTCATCCATGGCTATCGGACAGACCCAGCCACATCTCAATCGTGAGGCAAAGTTTCATCTTTATGAAGTGGGTAACAAGGTTTGAGACGCCACACTAGAAATCCAATCGCTAGTGGAAACCTCGCCTTAAAGATCTGCTTCGATTTCGGCGCCTGTGGGGCTAGAGCCACTGCCCCACTCACCCACGAGAAGTTTGTCGATGTTTTATCGAACACCCCGAAGTTATACGAGCAAATTTGCAAACTGACTCGAGAAATATGCATCTTGCCCATCGAATGGCAAGTCCCACGTTGAGCACTACTGTATTGTCGAGGATATATATGTGGTCCATACTCAACGGATGCCGGCTCGCTTGAATCAGACTCGGTCTCTCGTGTTTCGTGGGTGTTCGTCAAGAGTGCCTTTAAGCGAAATCTACGTAGCCACTTGCCAACTTGAAGTCTCCAGCGCAGCGCACACCAGCAACCATGACCAAGTTTCCGCTCGAGCACGCTCCGTTTCTCCCTATCCACTTCATCCAATCCGACAAGGAAGCCCTACTTGATCTGGCCGACACCTTCGTCTCCGAGACGATCGAGGACTACGAGAGACATGTGCATTATAACAACGGCATCGTGGATTCAACGGAGTGGGTTCGAGTCAAGCAATTTGAAGACGTCATCGTGTACGAAGACCGACGCGCACTCAAAGAGCGTCGTCTATCGCGTGTCAGCTCCTTACGCACACCCAAGCGCAATGGCAATATGCTCAAACTGCTTTGGGCCGGGACTATCCGTGGGGACCTGGACGACGTCATGTATGCTTCAATGAATCGAGCGGCCGAAGAGGCCAAGGTCAAAGCGGCCTACGTCGAGAGCAACTGCATCGACTTTGCTGTGTTGGACACGCTAATTCATCCGACAGCCAACGACCCGTTCCGCAGCGTACAAATCAAGTGGATGGTGAATGCGGGCCCGCCCATGATGCGGTCGGTCGTGCGCTCAAGAGACTTTGTGTACCTCGAGTCTACCGGGATGACAAGCACGTCGACCGGCGAACGAATCGGCTTTCAACTGCTGCACTCGATTTCGCTCCCTGGGGCGCCAGAGCTGCATGAACACAAACTCGTTCGGGGCAATATGAGCTTGTTCTATTTCTTCCGCCAGAAGGGTGAGGGAGTGGTGGAGACGTACGTAAAAGCGTTCATCGATCTGATGGGCGACATGCCTCTCCGAGTCGCTACAACGCTGTCGACAAGCGGCGTCGTGTGTGTATGGAAGCTCGGAGGTTACGCGCTGATGAAGAAGCTTAATTGGAGGCTGAGTCAGCGACGTGCGCTCGTACCAAGCGACTGGGCAAAGCTTTGCCACGTTTGCGCAAAGATCATTCAGGGCAGTATGGTTCGTCGTCGCACTTGCAAGATATGCGTGCACCAGTGCTGTGCTCGCTGTTGCGTGTCCAAGAAGATGTTTTTCGTGCCGGCACACAGTCAATCAGTGGTGCAGAAGATCGCCAATGTCTGCACGACCTGCATCCAGACGGCGTCGTACTCGAATGGCATGGACATCGCGTTGGACGAGATCTCAAGGACAGCTGGACATTTTAAGGCCTACGCTTACTGGGCTGTCGCCTCGCCTACGTCTTCCTCTTCGTCGCTAATGCTATGAGCCATGATTTATATGTTGTCAGTAGTTTCGGATAACATAATTAATAATAGTGAGGTTTAACGAGAGCGGGCTCCATACGCATTGCTTGCAAATGCTTGGTGTTCAACTCGGTAAGTCATGGTGGACTTCAAATGGGCAAGTACACAGAAACTGTGCGCACGTACACCCTGCAGCAGTGCTGCTGCGAGCACCGTGTTTCTGCTGGCTGTAGCGCACGGTGTCTTGGCGAGACGCTCTATCAGATGCTGACTTAACCCACCAATTCAAGTTGATACTAACGCTGGAATGATGTCAACTCGCCACGGGTCATCAAGCAGCACATGGACAGACAGGCCGAGTTTCGATTGCCAGTCAGTGGCATGATGGCGCTACGGTGGCGTTGGTGATTAGAATGCACGGTCGTAGCTCGAAGCGGTGGCTGAGAGCGAATGCACCCCAGCGCTTGGGCGTCGAGGTGGTGCGTCGAAGAGTACGCGGAGGCGTCGAAGGCGTGAGCAGTAGCCCCGAGCTGCGCTACTATCGCTGACTGTCAAATGGAACTAGCGCTAAGCACTTCAGAGTGCTCTCCCGGCGTAGTATCACGAGTTACAGACAGCAACCACCTCAAGGTCACAACGATGACTGCGCGCCTGCCAGCTGGCTCCCTCGTCGCAGGAGACCTTGTCAACAGCTAACAGCTCCGAAACTTGTCATCGTCGTCATCGCTGGCGTTGACGATCATTTGACATGGCGGCTGCAGTTCAGTCCCCTATTGGCTTTCAATAGCTCAAGAGCCACAACTGAAAGATGAAATTCCCGCTCACGCACGCGCCGTTCGCACCACTGCGTCTCGGCGAGGGTGACCGCAAAGAGGCGGTGGAGCTGGTTGATCTGTTCGTCCAGCAGACGCTGGCCGACTACGAGACTCACCTAGATATGCAGCACGGAGTTGTGGACGAGGTCCGCTGGAAGATGGTCAAGCGTTTCGAGGATGTTGTCGTGTACCAGGATCGCGAGGCCATGCGATCGCGCCGCCTGACGCTTACCAGTTCCTCACCCGGTTCCGGCTACGAGCACCGCGAGAGCCGCAATGACATGCAAAAGCTGCTATGGTTCGGCACCGTACAGGGCTCACTCGACGACATTATGTATGGCGTCACCAACCCCACCGCCGAGGAGTCTAAGGTCAAGGCCGCCTACGTCGGCAGCAACGTGCTTGACTTTGCCGTACTCGACACCATCGTGCACCCGACATTGGTCGACCCCTTTCGAGGGCTACAGGTTAAGTGGGCGGTAAATGGGGGACCGTCAATGATGCGGTCCTTGGTTCGTTGTCGAGACTTCGTCTATCTCGAGTCCACGGGCATGACGACAAGTTTCAAGGGCGAGCGAATCGGGTATCACATTCTTCACTCTATTGCAGTCCCAGGGGCCCCGGAGCTTCATGAACACAAGATAATCCGCGGCAACATGACGCTGTACCATTTGTATCGTCAAAAGAGCGAGGGTGTCGTGGAGACTTACGTGAAGGCCTTCATCGACGTGATGGGGGACATGCCATCCAGCATCGCCACGTTAGTGTCGGCCAAAGGGGTCGTGTCAGTGTGGAAACTAGGCGACTATGCGGAGATGAAGAAGCTCACGTGGCTGCTGAAGCAGCACAAGGCATCGCCATCTCACCAGGACAGCAGCTCAAACTTCTGTCGCCAGTGCCACAAGGACGTACGCAGCGTGTTGTCGCGTCGACAGACGTGTTGCATTTGCTCGAGCTGCGTCTGCTCCCGGTGTAGCATTCCGAAAAAGCTTTACCAAATGTCGCCACTCTTACGTACGGTGGTGCAGACGTCCGTGGTGGTGTGTACGCCTTGTATGCGAATGGTGCTGGCGACGAGTTGCTTGGATGTAGCAGAGGCCGAAGTGGCTACGAAACACCGCGAGGACTTCGGTAGATCGATTAAGGACACATCATCACCATCTTTGTCAGTGTCTTCGCATGCATTGTCAATGATGTGTCCTAATTGGTGACATAGCGTACAAGTTATTGTACAAAATGTCTTACCATACAAAATATGTTCTGGACCCAATCCTGCATAAGTCGATACATCACCTTTTACAGGAAAGATAAATCAATGGTGCCAGGAAACTCTCTGAAGACAGACTCATAAAATTCAATCACATCTCTTTTTTCTTCCTTCTACTCAAGCTCCTCCACCTTCCTCGCCTCACCTTCAATAGGTTATGAGCCCAACGCAAGCCTCCACCGCTGACGACCGCGAGTTTCCGCGCCTCAATGGCCGGAACTTCATCATCTGGAAGACCCGCGTCACTGCCGCCCTCGAAGGAAAGAACCTTCTCGGCTACGTCGAGCGTATCGACTACACCGGTGACTCCGACTACGAGTTCGACTGCGATGAAGAACTCAACCCGGCACTGTCCGACATGAACGACATGTCCGCCGCGCTTGATGCTGCCGGTGCTCCCAAGGCCGACGAAATGGTGGGCTCCTCACCGAGCGAGTCCTCCTCTGATGCCAGCTCCGCAAGTTCGGATGCACCCACAGCCGGAGACGACGGCGATGTGGAAATGGGGCAGGAGAATCCCCCCCGTTATCCAGTCATTCACTGCTCAGAAGCGGGATGAACTGAAGCGAGCAGAGAAGCTGAAGGCTAAAAGCCAGAGGCTGAGCTCGAAAAAGCTTCGACTCAACGAGGCAAAAGCAAAAGCTTTCCTTATCAAGACCATCGATGACCAACATGTTCTCATGGTCAAGGACAAGACTACTGCGTTTGAGATCTTCCAGACGATCTGTAGCAAGTACGAAGGTGCTGCCATCCACGGCGACCCGTATCATGTGCTATCATACCTGATGGCACTGAGGTATGAAGAAGGTTCAGACCTTACGGGGTTCATAATTGACATCGAATCTGCCATGAAGGTTGCCTCCGAAGCCACAAACAGTGTGCTCAGTGACGAACAGAAGTCACTCTACTTGTACCATGCGCTACCTGGAAAATGGAAGCAGCAACTATCGGTCTGGAAGGGTAGCAGGAAATTCATTCCCTACGAAGAGCTAAAGCGTCACATCGAGGCCAAGGTGCAGCATGAACTGGCGAAAAACCGCTACACGCTCAAACAAGGAACACCCGAATCGAGGGAAACCCGAAACGAGCAGGCCCTACAGGCTTTAGCACCTGAACCAACCTTGGTTCAAGCTCCCTATCAAGAGAGCAAGGCTCTCATCTCAACGATGAGCTGTACATACTACCTGCGCACCAACCACGATACTGTCGACTGCTATGTTCTACAGCGCCACCTACAAAATGGTCAGGTAAAGGCAGGAACGGTGCTTCCCGCCAACTTTAAGCTGAAACCTTCGCCCAATCAAGCTCGACAGCATCCTTACAAGGACAGTTTCGGCGGCAAGTCACGAAACCAAAATCGGAATGACTACAAGAGCAAGCGGAACAGCAATCGAAACAGAAGCCAGAACGGCAACCAGAAGATTACATCTGGAAAATCCAAGAGTCACAATAAATATCACGGTCGCCGCAAGGACACCGACTCCGACAACGAGTATGGAATCATAGCCATCACCACTCTGGACCTCAGACAAGAAACAGAGGCTGTAAGTCTCACCGCCCAAGATGCGGAGCATGACCCAGTGTGGACTGTCGACTCAGGCTGCACTCGCCACGCTACGTCCAATCCGAAGTGGTTTGAGAAGCTGATCCCAAGTGCTGGCAAGTCAATCACTGTCGGCGGCAATCACCAGATTCCGATAAAAGGAACTGGTGATGTCAAGATGACAATCAAGGACACGAAGGGAAAGGAACGAGAAATATCCTTGGCCAACGTGCTATATGCGCCCCAGCTGAAGTTCAACCTACTCTCCGTGCGCCAAGCCGTCGAAGATGATTTCAAAATCAACTTCCCCAACGCAAAGAAGTGCGTTCTGCTCTTCGCTAGCCGAACCAAATTTGAAGCCAAAATTGGTGAAGGGACTCGACTCTTCCAGTTTCAAGCGAGCCCGGCAACGTCAAGTCAGGTAGCCCATGTGGCCACTTCCAGGAAGCCTGATAATGTTTTACTTTGGCATAAACGAATGGGTCATCCTAACTTTCGCATTATGCAGGATCTGGCTAAAGCCAACACTGTCATGGACATGGGCCTGAAAAACTTTGATTCCAAGAAAGACTACTTTTGCTCTTCCTGCACATACGCCAAGGCCCATCGTAACCCATTCAATAAACGTACCGTTGAACGGGCAAAGTTCCCTCTTGAAAAAGTTCATTCTGATATGGCTGGTCCATTACCCGTCCCCACACTCTCGGGGTGTCAATATTTTCTGACCTTTATAGATGACTACTCACGGTACATGTTCATCTACATCATCAAGCGAATGTCTGAGCTGTACGAATGCTATGAAGATTTTCGCAAGAAAGCACAAAACGTTTTTCGCGCTGATGTAGGCGAACTCCAGTTCAATGAGAACATACACGATGAAGAAGTTAGACATCTTCAAAGCGATAATGCCCGAGAATAGGAGAAACCTGGAAAAATGATTTTTCAGAAGTACAATACGCACGCACAATTTACAAATGCGTACACGCCCCAGCAAAATGGAGTTGCAGAGAGGCGCATGCGTACACTACTCGAACGAACCAGGGCTTTCCTCATTGATGGTAACCTACCGCAGGTTCTTTGGGGAGAATGCGTCAAACACGTTGCTGACCTTCTGAACATTACTCCCAGCTCGGTAACCGATAAGGTCACCCCATACGAGAAATGGTTCAAGCGAAAACCATCCGCGCACTACATCAAAGTGTTTGGGTGTACTGCGTACGCTCACATCCCTGAGATACACCGCACAAAACTAGAACCACGTGCTAAGAAGTGCATGTACTTAGGACTCCCATCAAACAAAAAGGGATATAGACTCCTTGACACGAAAGAAAACCGTGTTATCTACAGCAGGGATGTTGTGTTTAGAGAAGACGAGTTCCCACACTTGGAATTCCTCA